ACACACACACACAAACACAGAAACACACACAGGAAAGAACTGATGAGGGTTGCATGACATCCACAGTGAGACACAGTGCATCACATTACCTCGGTAGGAGTAGGAGAAAGCAGCTGGGGGGACTGCAAATGAAGACGGGGGAGAAAGCGAATGATTAGGACGAACTCATATGTGAGGATATATGAGTTAACCATCCAGCAATGAGAGCAGCTCATTCAGTGTCAGTGAGGAATGACGTCCACTGAGAGGACATTCCTGATGAGCTGAATGAAATGGGTCTAAAGTGTACAGTTCAGTTTACATGCTCAGGGCTGTGAGACTGTGATCGCATTGCAAAGGAATGGAGGTGATTGTGAAAGAGAAAAAAACAAAACAAGAAAAGATGGATAACTTCACTGTCAGAATCTGGGAGGCTGATGGAGGGGTAGCAAGGTAAAATATAAAGCAATAAAAAAACAAGAGAAGCTACAAAAGGAAGTTCTGCTCTGTGAGACGGAGAAGTAACAACGAACAGATTGACTCTGTTCAGAGACAGTTACTGTTCGATTCATCAAATCACTGAGAAAAACACACGTTGTATATTTAAATTAGAATATATGCAATACAGATTCAAAAAAGTGAAAATAATCAAATGCAGTACAAAGTTCGCCCAGACATGTTTATTTTTTTAAATGGAAAAATGTCCCTTTTTTTGTCTTTAATTGAATAATGTGTGCTCATGTAGTTTGTGTTTGTGTAAAACAACAACAAAAAAGAGGAATAATATATATATATTTTATTTTTTTAAACCAATTTTAATGCAAAACTCATTATAAACGTTTCATAAGCTGTTATTAATAGATAACTAATGGTTAATAAACTATTTACTAAAGTTTAATAGAGCAGTTGTAGGCCGTTAAATAAGAAAAACTAGGTCTGCCTCTGGTTGACAATCCATTAATATTAAAAAAGGTATGAAAGTCATAGGTTTTTTCGTTTTTTCTGGTTACTGTTTTCTCTGTAACTTCTCCGTACTTACAGAAATTTCAAAAACTATTACTTGATTACTTCCTGAAAGTATTTTTTTTTTTTTATCTTAGTGTCGTTCTACATTTACATAGAGTTCTGTCTCCCCTTTATCCCCACCCTGCCGGGTCGAGGCAGGTAGTTGTCCTCCCTGAGCCTGGTTCTGCTGGAGGTTTTTAAATGCTGGTAAATGGGAGTTTTTTCTCCCCGCTGCTGGTAAATGCTTGTTCAAAGGGAACCTGAAGGAAACTTAAAGATCTTCACCTTACCATGTCAAGTGCCTTGAGATGACACATGTTGTGAATTGCTGGTATACAAATAAAACTGAATTGAACTGAACTGACTCCGACTGCTATTAGGAACTTCTACCTTCAGTGAGATGTGCAACGCCTTTCTGACAAAATTTAAGTAGCGCTATGGGACAGAACGACTGGATGGACTGATTACATTTTGTATTGAGAAAAATGGTTGAACTGAGAGCAGATTGTGAAAGATCTCATGTTTGAAGCAAAAAACTCGAAAGCTTCTATTTACTTTAATCTCACATCTCTTTGCACGAGTTGCATTTCATTAAAGTAACATTACTCAGTATTTGAGCACTAAGGGATGTCCCATCTCTAAAGTCAAGCCATCAATAAGGCTTTTTTCTCTTTCTTTCTAACAAAAAAGTAAATCATCTTGAAATGCTTAATATTACTGGTTCTGGTGGGTTCTTCAATATGAGCCATTTCTTAAAAACCTAACACTGTTTGTAGCTGATGATGCATGTCTTGTAGACATTAGTATGCTACTCATAAACTAATATTAGCCATCAGTTACAACTTATAAACCTCGTATTAAGATTGTTCTATTAGAAACTGAAACCACAGGAAGAAAGAGAATAGATAAGTATTATCAGCCAAACTTTCTCAAAATCTGAAAAGTAAAAAATCCTCATTATATAGCTGAAATGGTAACTATATATCACAAAATTAAATATGTATTACTGAATTTTCATTTGGTTGTTGCTGCTGATGCAATAATGCATAAGCAGCAGTTTAATATGCAGCTCATGAAGACGGAGCTAAGTGTTTTATATATCAATAAATCATTTAAATTGCATTCAACATTGCACTATAGTTACTCGTAGCTAAACTTTTACTCTGCAAAGTTTCCCTTTGAAATGTAAATGGGGCAAATTTAGAAAATGCCGTGAAAGTACAGAACTCAAGTAAGTTTAATTATTATTACTGGATTAGAGAAATGAAAAGAACAGAAAGACAGATCAAAGAGCTGTAAGAGGCTGCTCTACCTCTCCGTAGTGCCTCTCCTCAGACGGGTAGCTGACGTATGGAGAGTAGGACAACATGTCAGGCCTGTCTATGTTATAGATGGCCTTGGTCTTTGGAAGGGCTGCCAGGTCCTTGTAATCCAGCATCTCCTCTCCTAATTTGGCCTGGCAGCGAGAGGAAAAAACAAGCAGTTACTCATCAGTTACTCAGCATAAAACAATCATTGCACATCATTTTTGAAGAGGTGAACTACATGCAGCTGCTGCCCCCTGGTGGTGAGCAGAGGTAGTGCCGTCTTACATAGATGACTCTGCTGGGAGAGCCGGAGGCGCTGGATGCTGGGACTGAAGTGATGCTCTCAGATGAAGTCCGGGTCACCTGGAACACACACACATACACAGTATTTGTTTAAGTACATCAAGAGATAGTAGGTGTATTAATTATCATCCATTAAAACCCATGCTTTGTTAGATATACAGTCATGGTATTCTAATTGAAATCTCTAAGTTTCTCCTCAGTGATGCATTTATAGTCGTCATGTAACAACACGGCAAATCCTGAGTTCTC